TATTAATATTCAACGCTGAAGTCGGCAACATTCTTTTATGAGAGGCATACTTATTTGATAATGGTACACTCTTTAAATGGCTGCAATATGGGAATATGGATTTACGCCGCTTTTAGCAATATTCCAGAAATATCATGGCGGGGGATACCAGAGCCCCGGAGTTAACCATCTGCCTTTTAAAAAATTAGATGTGGTAATGCAAGAATCGAAACATACAGAAATATTAATTTAAAGGTTTAAGACAAAGTGTGATTTAATTGTAATGATAATATCGAAGATAAAAACCAAGTTTTATGTCCCATAAGGATGATCTCTGCTGATGGATTGTTATTGTTTAACGCAGCACTCAGCAATATTCCCGCTATATGACAGCAGTCTGTAAACAATCGAGTCTGGACCAGACAATCCAGTGCTTGATATCATGAGCACCGATCCACGCAATTGGGATCGATGACATGCATCAACCAAGTCAGCGAGCCTGACCACCCGATCCCGTTAGTCGCCTCTTACGTCAAGCACAGTCGCCGTTTACGGCAATTATGGGTTGCTGAAGACCTATTTTACCCCGGATCTTCACGGGTCTAAGATCCACATTATTTACGAGTATAACGGCTAAAATGTCCAATTTTTTAAACGTGTCAAACAATGAGAAATTCTTTTTTAAACATGAGGTATATGTCACTGCCAAAACATGCTTTTTAATATTACAACGCAGAAAGCTATTGCTATATTGGTAAAACATGTTATTTGTATATATCATCCATTTTGTGTATCGTCTCCCATAACTTTATATGAGTTTTGTGTAGAAACGTCTATTCTATGCATGTGTTGTAGGATGTACATCGGTGAGGCGAAAATAAAATATCTGTCTGTCTGTGTAGATATGGCCATTCGTAAGTAAACAATGTGTGTATGATTAAAGCCATAATCCGTTCAAGGACATTAAATAAAATGACAGTTGACTTGTAAATGTGGAACTTCCTCAACAAAATCAATCTAAAGTAACAAACATCTGCCAACGATCGTCTCAAACGTATTGTGATAGAAAAAAGATCCAGGTTGTTACGATCCCATTGTGCCTAAGTTTAGCTTAACTCAGTTTAGTTTAGTTTAGTTTAGATCAGTTTATATTTTGAGGGTACCCGTTCAAGGATATAACATCAGCGCTGATCCCAATAAACATGTATTAAGTTGATGTTTATATATTTCAACGAGTTGGTGTGAATATGTAATAACCCTTTGTACCTTTGGTTAGATTGTTTAATAAATTAATAGGTTGTTTATATATTTTTTAGCTTGAAAGTTGTATTTCCTCTATCAGACACTAGGCCGTGTATTAATTTCTCGAGAGCCATTGGCTTGGCATGTATTAGAGACCTGGCATGTATCAGAGACCTGGCATGTATCAGAGACCTGGCATGTATTAGAGACCTGGCATGTATCAGAGACCTGGCATGTATTAGAGACCTGGCATGTATCAGAGACCTGGCATGTATCAGAGACCTGGCATGTATCAGAGACCTGGCATGTATTAGAGACCTGGCATGTATCAGAGACCTGGCATGTATCAGAGACCTGGCATGTATTAGAGACCTGGCATGTATCAGAGACCTGGCATGTATCAGAGACCTGGAATGTATCAGAGACCTGGCATGTATCAGAGACCTGGCATGTATTAGAGACCTGGCATGTATTAGAGACCTGGCATGTATCAGAGACCTGGCATGTATCAGAGACCTGGCATGTATCAGAGACCTGGCATCTATTAGAGACCTGGCATGTATCAGAGACCTGGCATGTATCAGAGACCTGGCATGTATCAGAGACCTGGCATGTATTAGAGACCTGGCATGTATCAGAGACCTGGCATGTATTAGAGACCTGGCATGTATTAGAGACCTGGCATGTATCAGAGACCTGGCATGTATTAGAGACCTGGCATGTATCAGAGACCTGGCATGTATCAGAGACCTGGCATGTATCAGAGACCTGGCATGTATCAGAGACCTGGCATGTATTAGAGACCTGGCATGTATCAGAGACCTGGCATGTATCAGAGACCTGGCATGTATCAGAGACCTGGCATGTATTAGAGACCTGGCATGTATCAGAGACCTGGCATGTATCAGAGACCTGGCATGTATTAGAGACCTGGCATGTATCAGAGACCTGGCATGTATCAGAGACCTGGCATGTATTAGAGACCTGGCATGTATTAGAGACCTGGCATGTATCAGAGACCTGGCATGTATTAGAGACCTGGCATATATTAGAGACCAAGCGTGTAATGAGGAAATATCAATACATTTCACAGTTTCTCGTGGTGATCGATCAGCAGCCATTCTTTCATGAATTGATATGTAGGCTGTCGGTGTATTCATGCGCACGTTTTTTTGTGTGAAAAGGTTTAGTGTAGTAAAAGGGGATAACGTGGCAAAAAGGTAACCTCTTTTTAACCAATAGGAACCAAGCATTCTCCAATGTCATGGTAGAATAGCGTTTCACATTAATACATGTGACATGCAGGGAGTGTTTATGATTTAAACATGACAGATGGGAAAAATACCCCTACTTACTTATGTCGTAGCGGACCGTGTTCCATTTCCCTGTTAATGAAGTTCATCTTCCCATCAAAAAGGTTTCACATCTGTTGAACTTACCAAGTGAGGTTTTTCATTCACCCAGAAATGAGGTGTGCACCACTTTTAGGAACATGTTTTTAATTAATTTCGGGGAAAACACCACACATGACTTTTCGTTAATTAACCAATGTAAGGAAGTAAATAAGGGGCTTTGACTTGATGAGTGAAATTAAAAAAACACAAGGCTTCCCTGTTGGTAAGGAAGTTGGCAAGGCGTTTTTCAGAGTGTTTCTTGTTTCTTCAGATTGTCATCAGACGCTCCCATGTATAGCCTTTGTAAATGAATTATTTTGGGGGATGTATGGATACCTCATTATACTAATCCCATTATACTACAGCATAGTTCTTTCCACTTTGAAAGATATGATTACTTAAGAGCATATGCATAAGAATTTAGCATTCTTAAAAGAAATACAAGAAATATATATATACTGAACCGCAAAAGAAACGTCACCATGGATAGATATACCATAAACCTTATTTGTCCAAAGAGTGTAAACATACCTTGAGACATATTAAAAAGATGAAACTTGGCAAAACTGATCATCATGGTTGAAATTAAAGTGTCAAATTATCTTAAAGTGAAACACAACACTAGTCTCTGAGAAAACAACATCACAAGTCAGCATCTCGTGTGTCCGCCATTTCCATTGATGACTGCCATGCAACGTCGATACATGGAATGGATGAGGCGGTTGATGAAGGCCACAGGCACTTGAGAACACACTCTGAGGAACGCCTGACACAGTTCAGCTGCTGTTGTCGGCCTTGGTCGGACGTCATTCAGGCGTCTTTGAATCGAGTCCCACAGGTGCTCAATGGGATTTAAATAGGGACTGAGGGCAGGCCACTGCATGGTTCTGATGCCATTCTGCTGGAGGAAGTCTCTTGTTCATCTCACAGTGTGGGCACGGGCGTTAAGATGCTGAAACTCGTGGTTGCGGCAAAGTGCTAAATGAGGTGTGGCGTTTGGTCTCAAGACTTGATCAATATACCTAGCTGCAGTGACACCATTGCCACTCCCTGGACCAATGTTCTGGAAGACCACAGGGCTGACCCTCTGTGCAAGACCAATTCCACCCCACACCATGATGCTCGGACCACCCCACAAGTCTCTTTCAACAACACAAGCATCCGAATAACGTTCCCCATGGCGTCGCCTGACTCTCACTCCCTGCAATCTGCTGTTGAGATACAGAAACGGCTCTTGTCTGAGAAGAGGACTCCTCTCTACTGCTGGTGGTGCCAATGCTTGTGGCGCCAATACTGGTGCTGTGTTGCCCTCTGAAGATGTCCCGGCGATGACGTGGTGTCAGAATGGGTCCTCGGTTAGGCCTCTGACAGTGGAGGTGTCTGCTCATCAATCGTCCAAGGGCTTGGTGTCGCTTATTTCTTGTCAATCTTGTGGTAGCAATTCAATAATGAATGACTGTTATCCGACCTGGGTGGATTTTTTTAGGGCAAGAAATGGGGAAACGCATGTGCATTTCAATTTGCATGGAACTCAAATGCATCATGTTACCATGGCTGTTGCCGTGATACGTTTGGGCGATCGGTTTTATTGTCATCTGCTTTTTTTATCATCAAATTTCAATTTTTCTTGAAAAGGTAATGTTAAATTTTAGAAGCTTTGACAAAAAATAACCAGATATTCAAATGACAACTTTTCATGTGCAATGTTACTTGGGGGTTGACGTTTCTTTTGCAGTTCAGTATATATATGTCTTGTCTGTGATCACAAAGACATATTTCGCTTTCAACTAAGCTTTTCAATCAAGGTTACACCATCAGCGCTTACCCTCTTTCGTGATCACTTGGGCTCATCACTGACTTTGAGTGATCCATCCATATACCACTCTCTCGCCTTTTGAGGCCCAATGGAATCTATTTTCGCAGGTATCCAACACTGTATATTCTCTGGCATTGACGTTTTAAATCTAGTGGGCATAAATTAGTTTGTTGAAATTCAAAATCAGAAGCATATAGACAAAGACACATGTCTAATAATGGTATGGGATGCTCACATCCAAGGAAACATATTTTACTTCAATCTTTCTCCGTCCTTACCTTTGTGCTGTCTGCTGTAGTCAGTATCGACCATACGCATGGGAAATAGATTGTGATTGTCAAAACACTTTTAAACTTAACACTCTGTGTATCTTTAACTTGTATTATTCATGTCTTTGGGGTACTGTCTCTCGTTCTAAGAAACGGTCACAAAGTTAAAATGTAAATATATGGTAATGGCATTGTAATATGTCGTAAACATTTAAAGCCAATGTAGAAATGCAATGGCTCTGATAGATCTGCAACCAGCTTTGGCATGTATTGTCGTCATTCATTTAATCTCATGGGTAAATCCACAAGTTAATTACAAAAGGACTGTTATAGAACTCCTGTCAGGCAACACTGGCCTCCACGGAACGTACATATCTACACGTTGAAGGGTAGACCAGTTGAAGGGCAGGTTGAAGTCTAATGTACAGCAAAGAAGAAAGCGATAACATCACAGAGAAGGTAATGTCTATATATCTTGTTAACAGAAGCAAGCTTTAGATTAAGTTTAAATGATTACAATGTATGTATAGAGTTGATGGTATGAAGAAATTAATAGAAGATCAGTTTGTCCGTCTTTTGTTCAATTACATGCATATGTATATATTATATATGTTAAACAAGTGGGTTTGCACCGAGACATAGGCGTGGAAGACTTAAAAATACGATACATAGATAAAATCGTCTCATTACATTTGTTACACAATACGATAGATTCAAATCTGCTCCTGTTATCAATAGATAATTCCGTACAATAACAAGAAGGTTAGTTTAACATCTACCGTTTAAAAATGGCTCCATGCCGCCTGCCTGAAAGCAAGGCGTCCTGTTAAGGGTGGGACCCTAAAAAAATCACCATGTGCGGCAAAGATTTGGGTGGCCTGGGCAACACCAGGGACTGTCTGTGCACCAGTGGCGTTACACCATGTTTAAAGACGAATCAAGCCTCAATTCAAAGATGGTAGAAAACGTTGTTGGTGATGTAGCGGCGAACAGTATTCAAGGCTAACAATTCTTGACCGTATGCGGTTTGGGGAGGCTGTGTCATGGTGTGAGACTGTATCACACATGACAGACGAACTAATGTGGACATTTTACTGGCCAGCTATATGTTGACGAAATCTTGCGTCTTGTCATTGTTCCATTCGCTAGAATTATCGGCAGAAATTTTGAACTGCAAGAGGACAATGCCAGACCACATCATGCCCAGGTCATCACCGATTATCACTGACGAGAAGGCATACGGACGGTGGACTTGCCTGCTAAGTAACCTGACATGTACCCAATAGAGCATCTGTGGGATTTCTCGGATGGAGAGGCCTAGCACTGGCCAACATGACCAAGCTTGGGGTAGCTCTTCAGGCGCCGGAATGTCTAATACCAAGGGCCACCATACATAAGTTAATGAAAACTGGTGGACACACCAAATGTTGATCTACACGAAAGAAATATATTTTATCGTCACTACACTTTCACTATCAATTCATCAGTTCCCATATTCTCTGTTGGTATCCATGTTCTAGTCTTATACTCACACGTTCTACGGACAAGATAGGTCTGTTTATTGTCCATAGTATTGTGCAGGATGAGATTATTTAGTGTCACACCAATATTCCTGTTACAACATGCATTGAGGAGGGCTTGTAAATTGCCCATGTTTTGCATTCATTACTCCTTTGTCAGAAAAATATATTGAAAATAGGTGGTAGTATGAAGACAATAGTCATTGTAAATAATACATTTAGATAAAGTTGTTTTTGAAATATTGTTTCACCATTTTGTTTACTGTTATTTACTGTCGAGTGAATTACTTAAAGGCATTCTTAACATCCATTACATCATTTATTATTCCCATATTGCAGCCATGTAAAGAGTGTAACATTATCAAATAAATATGCGTCTCATAAAAGAATGTTGCCGACTTCGGCGTTAAATATTAAAACCTTAACCATTTTGTATACCCTTTCAATAACAAAATGTTAAATCCATTAGCCCTGATGATTAACAACGATACAACGTTTAGGTTGTTCGTGTTAGAACAAGTTGACAATTACTATACTGGCAATCCTATGCGTGGGAATGATGACAACCCACTATTATGGATGGAGATCATAGCTCCACCTGTTTGAGTATGGTAATTGTAACGCATTTTTAAGCATATGAACTTTGAACATTTCTGTATTTGTTGTTTACACTACTCAGTGTGGTCTCACTATGGAATCATCTTTCGCCTACAGAAACAATGAATTTGGCTGAGAAGATAGAGACTGTCTCGTTTGATGCAGACCGACCTTCGCCAAAGTATGGACTGAAAGATCTATGGATCGAATTCAGTCAGTCTACAGGCCTCCATGCAGTTAATAAGATTAAACCCCCTTCGATCAGCCCATTCAGCATTCGTGGGTAGGTGTGGTTGTACTTAATATAGATATATATAGATATATAGGTATATATGTATGTGTATGTAATATTTATCTATATATGTACAAATATATATACACATATATATACATATATATATATATATATATATATATATATATATATATATATATATATATATATATATATATATATTAGTGGCTTGATGTTCTTGCTGGTGTGTTGGGATCCACTAAACAAAGGCTAAGAACGATTTGTGTTGATGCAGAATATTACATAATTACCCGTGAAGATCCGGGGTAGAATAGGTTTTCAGCAACCCATTCTTGCCGTAAAAGGCGACTATACTTACGTACTTGCTTTTATGTAAAATGTTCCCAGTGCATTGAAACAGGGTGCATTCCTTTTCCCAGTGTGTCCAGATGGGTGGCTCGCTCTAGGATAGTGACTTTATCCCCTTATCACTAGAATCGTTTAAATGATTTCTTTACCTTGACCCACGTTTTCATATCGATCTTAGAGCTATGGATTTTGCAATTCTTGAAAAAAGAATGGAAGTAACAAAGAAGTTTGTGTTGTAATGATCATAATGTGATTAACCAAGATTATTTCGGTTGGGTGTGTTCTCTCCTTTTTAGAAAAACAATAAAAATGGCGCCATTTTGCCGCGGTCTCCTGCAGTGTTGTAAGGATCAACTTCAACAAAGATAAGGTGTACTTACATATCCCTGGGTAAGGGTAATACTTTGCGTGCGATATTCGTTGGTTGATGCCAATTGGTTTATCAACTCCATACCTATTTAGACTCTTATAGGCCCGTTGACGTATACATACCACATACGTTTGATATTTCTGACAATCTAATTATACTCATTCTAGTCCTCTTCCTTCTACAGATTGCTTTGGATGTTATCTCTGTGTTCAACTACGGCGTTTCTCGTCTATAACCTTATCGAGGAGATAGGGGACTACTACAGCTACCCAACTGTCACCAAGGTCACACCCAAAATCAGGAGTTCCATCGAGTTCCCCGCCGTCACCATTTGCAACAGATGCACTCTCAACAACACTCGTCTTGGCGCTTACCCAGAAATGGAGAACTATTTCTTCAATAGCGTTTTTGGATTGATGAATGAAAGCTCATTTCTTGTTTTAGATGAGTTTCAGAAACCATTGTCTTTAGAATGGTGGAGGAATATGTCAATGGAAGGATCCAAGATGCTGACTGAATGCTCCTTTGGTGGTGAAAAATTTGATTGCATGACTAAGTTCCGACCTATTTTCACTAATGAGGGATTGTGCCACACCTTCAACTTCAATGTCAGTGAAATCGTCCAAGTGCGGATGGCGGGTCACGCCAAGAATCTTGTCCTTCTTTTAAACATCAATCAGGACCACTACACATTCATGAGTAACATGGCCGCGGGGATTAAGGTAAATTAAACCTTGTCTAAGTAACTGATTTGGGATAAACGCCCTTTGAATATACTTCAAACTGAAAAGTAAATATCTTAATGTCTCATAATGTGGAACTGTTGAACCAACCTGATATGTGTCACATGGGATAGTGCTTGAAATAGTTTGTGCAATGCAACCACATAGTCATCGACCCGTAAATTGTTTCAGTTCAACTCTGTATTGACCTCAAGCTTCATTTATGGCTGATGCTTAGGATAAGACAAGTAGTGCTTATCCTAAACAAGTTCCATCTCATTACACGTCCACTTAGACAGGAGACCAGTAAAGCACACACTTCACAAACACTGTAGTAGATCGATGTGAATTTGTCACTGTTTTCTTGCAACAGAGATTTGTGTATGTTTACCTTACAGCTTTGGTGTTTTTGGGGCGTGTTGAAGGCAAACTAGATGTGTAGATCACAATTTAAAGCGGAAAGTAAGAAAATCTTGTGTGTGTGTATGCAGGTATTACTCCATAATCCACGCATACACCCAGACGCAAGCTCCAGCGTCGTGATGGCCGCTCCGGGGTTCTCTACGTATGTTGCCTTGCAAAAGATTGAGGTGGGTAATTGTAAATAACTACTTTGATTGCATCGTGACATGTTGTTGCCAATAGTAGAAGCTTGGCATGCAACGATTTGATGATTTTGAACATGTCTTTTATAGCGCTTAACACACATTTACATTCACGCCCAGTCTCCTTGTGTTTTATGCACGTAATGTTTAAATCTCTTTTTTCTCATTAGTGATGTATAACAGCTCGTTAGAGGACGTAATTAGTACCCAAATACCTATAACAACTTCCAAGCATTTTCATACAAAGTTTGGTGTATTAAAAAAACATGATCGTCATATGGTGAAATTATCGAATCTTTAGTGATATATATATCATGTGAGCATGTTTTTTTAAAGAGATGTTTGAGGGAGACAAGTGTTCATTTGATATCTTTTACTTTAAAACCTATAAGTGGCTGTGTTCAAGTGTCGAGCCTTAACCTTTAACATCATATACTCAAAATCAATTAAATTTATTTATTACCTTTTGATAAAACGGTTTTATGTCTTTTCTGTTAATAATTGTCACAACTGGTGCAATTTGTTCTTACGTTTCAAGACATTGATTTCAAAGAAAACACCAAAACCTTGCGGCATTGTTTGTAGTATCTGTACCAGCCCCTTCCCCACATGGCCTTTGATGACATGGAATGTGTGGACACAACTAGTCCGAACTTTGTGAACCCTCTCAAGTACTACTCCCACTACACCTACAACCATTGCATCATGGAGTGTCTTCAGATGAAGGTCTTCAGCAACTGTGGATGTGTTGGACCTTCTGATCCACGTATGTTTTTGACTCATTTTAGAAACGTTTTCATCACCTTTAAAAAGCAGTTCATATTCAACAGTCAATTACTTTTACCTTATAGAGTTGCTATCTGGAGACAGAAACGGTACCAGAAAGGTTATGACGATTTTAAGTAATACATAGTACTGTTAGCTATGGTAGTAAAGAGACGATTGTACATCAAGTTACGTTCTATGCCATATGGCATTCCAGGTATCTCATCAACATTAACATCATCACAACCACTGTGAGTCCTTCAAGGCTCTGAAAGCGAAACGTGAGAATATACAATTTAAAAACCTAACGATTTTTATTGAATTCATCCAATAGCGATCAATTTGGACGTCAGGTGGTCACATCTGTGAGCAAGGAAATCACCTTAAAATCCAGTAGTGCCTTTCATAAAGTCACAAGAATGAAAATACTATTTATCGCTGTCACATGGACCTGTCAAGGGTTCTTAAAGTTACCTGAGGTCTTGCTTGCTGCTAAGCTAGCACACGCTGGACGAGTTGTTGCAGGTTGACAAGAGGAGGGTGATTTGCAAGCAAACGTCGTCCAAGTACGTCCCACGGGTGTTCGATCGGTACCAGATCTGGGGAATAGGCAGGCTGAGCCACCAGTAAACCAGTCCTGTTCCCTGATTATGACATCATGGTACCATTTTCCTCTGCAGTGAAACACTCTCATACGACTATCTGAACTGCATTGAACTGAAATCTGACTTGCACTGCTGCCTTTTCCAGCAGAGATGAGCACGGCATCATGCAAGACGTGAAATTCTGTGACGTACACGTAAACGTGTTCTCACAGCTGGACGCCTGGAGTTGATAGAGCTGTCAGATTGGCATAATGGTCCTTAGCTCTGGTGGTTGATCTCAGTCTGCCTAAATGGGGTCAATCCTTGACTTCTCAGTGGTCTTGGAATCCCCTGTGCCACAGACGATGGATAACGGATGGTGCCATTTTTTGTCATCTGGCAACTTCTCTGATAACAATCTGATATCAGTCCGTCTTGTGGCTATGTAATGACCCTTTCTCTGACTACTTCGCTTCATGGTCGTCTTGGTGCCATGGTACATCAGTGGTACACCAATTCAATGTCAGTGTCTACCTGTCTACCCTTGTGTACAGCCTATCCACAGACACCGTTGAAAGCAAGTGCATCGTTTCATGTCGGTGATGCTTTCCTCCTTAACCTGACTCCTGAATTTTGACATTTGTCAAATTTTAACCAAAATTGTTCTTGGTACCAGTCTGCCAAAGGCAACAAAAATATTAGTCAGTCAAAAATATTTTTGGATTTTATCTTATCGTAGATATTAAATTTAATTGAGAACATGTTGAAATGACCTTTGTTTTGGCATGTGACTTTGATACCACTAGCCGATGTTGATCTTTTAATCAGAGAGAACGTGCTAGCTTGTATGGTACTATCAGTTCCTGTAAGTAGGCAGGAGCCGACGCGTGCATTGCCTTGTTTAGCAGGTTGTAGTTGGAATTGCACTCTTTGCTGGATTGGCAGCCAGTGATGTTCAGTCAATATTGTGAGTGGTGTGTTCTCACGTCAGTGTTCTTGTCATAGGTCCTGCAGCTGTACTTTTTGTGCATCCCTCTGTGGTAGGCCGTTGAGGAGTGAGTTTCAATAATCCAACCTGGAGATGACCAAAGATTGGATCACCCATGTTTCTGGTTCTATGGTTGGGTTTGACCACACCATATCCAAGGTGTAAGTCAGAGAGAACATGAAAAGGCCGCAAGGATTTTGTGTAGGTGATAAATAGCTCTGTTCTGTCCTCGCCCAGTTTCAAGAAGTGTGTTGCCATCCATTTCCTCGTTACATTTCATCATTCTGGACTCTGACAAAGGCAGTTTCTGTGCTTTACACAAAAAGTGTTAAGTCGTATCGACATTCGATTAAGAGATTCATTCTGTGACTGTCTTTGCAAAGAATATTTTCAAAATCCACTTCATTAACGGAGTGATGTGTAAAAACGACATTTGTCATCAACTTGCCCAACTATCAAGCATGACAAGTTATAAAACCGGTTTATGAGACTTTATCAGTACAAAAAGACACACACACACACACACACACACTAACTACAACACCATCCACAATCGTCAACACCATTCCCCATCCCCACCGTTGCCTCCTTCCACAACCATGATCACCCTCCACCAATCCCCACAACACACCACCTCATAAACATGTTGAAACACGTACACGGCTTTGGTAAAGCTATTTGCATTATGTTCATGACACTGCAAGTATTTATTAATTTTCATTGCAGAGGATGGCCCCAGGTGCTCGTTGGCGAAACGCGATAGTTGTTACAAGCCCTTTATTGGTGAGTACACTGTCTTTTTACCGATAACAGTAGAGTGATTCTTGTACAATGAGGTGAGGCCTCTTCTATGGCGGTGGGGTATATCAAAGGTTCAGGCAAAATCAGACATACCTGTTGCAGAAACCACAAGCAGGGCCTACTCGAGTTGTTTATATTTGGAAATATCCGAAACGTGTTACACTGTTTTATTATTGCTAGATGCAAATTTCTTTTACAAGCTCAAACGATCACGAATGGCAACTTCGTGGGGGAATGTGCATGTGTCAGCGAGTGCATGTTTGACAGCTACACTACCCAGGTGTCCTCCAGTTCCTTCCCAGCAAAAGTCTTGATCAACAAACTCCTCAACATCACGGGGGCACAGAACAAGGAGACTATGACGTAAGACTTCGTATAGACCAATCTTTGTTTCCGAAATACAAATGTTGAAAACACCAATGGTTAGATATTTCCCGCCATAGATGTGCATAAAAATACATCATTGTTTCAAACCAATCTGTCATTCTTTATCCATTTCGCGAGTCAATTACTCAATAACAGCTGCAAATAAAAAACCACATACATGCCTACCTTAAATAAAATGCCTATGTTTATTAATAGGCATGTATAACACATGTGAAGCACAATATGCATGTCCAGCACAATTGAAAGATATTTTTCTGAAAGGTTTGGCTCACTAAATAACATTAACATTTCAAAATTTCGGCGGCGTTAATGCCAACAAACTCACTACTAGGTGCATAAGTGTTTAATGATGCCTGTTATTCAGAGACAACGTCCTGTTGCTGAGAGTGTTTTACGACCAGATGATGATAACATCCATCACACAGCAACCTCAATATACGGTGGCCTCGCTGTTTTGTAAGTGACATTTATTTTTTTCAGGATGGTATTGCTCCATTGCAAACGCTGCCCTCCACCATTAATCCTCTTACATCACATTCTCTTTGATTTGATCTTTGGCATGATACCCGTGCCCTTGAGTCGCAACTGAAATACTAGTCGCAATAAAACCAACCTACACACCCTACAGAGTCGGAATATTAAATTGAAAAGTGTGAAAATGAAGAAATGATACGCATTTTTATATTAACTCTGACGATTCGTAGGTGGACAAAATGTCCCCCATGGCCTACAGTGCCTTGTAACAGAGGCCTTGGTCTGCACCATATTGAGACCCTGTAGCTACCATGATACGGCGGAGTTGGAGGGATTTTTGTCATTGATGTAGATGTTCATACAACGGGGATATTGTTTCTCACAGCCAATATCGGCGGTCAGATGGGATTGTGCCTCGGAGCCAGCATCTTGACAGTCATGGAGATCACGGAGCTCCTGGTGTTCATCATCCTCTTCCTCTGTGACAAGTGTAGAGGAAGAAAAGCCCGAAACAGAATAAACAACTGGTAGACATTGCACCTACCGTATTCGACAAAATAAGCGCTCTCAAAATTAGAAATAGGGGCTCTTATTGGAATATTATTGTGGTGAAAATAACAGAGTTGAAACATAAATTTCACAGTTTATGCTGACAGTCTGAAATGGTTATGTAGGACAGATATATTTTTTCCAGGTATCAATTGCCCATAATGAAGGGTGCATATAACACACGAGTGCGTATTATACGTGAATAAATAAGTCTTGTGTATATTGATCAATCGGAAGGGGTGCCAATTGGGATTGTTCACTAGCCAATATATTAGCAAATATCGCCGTGGGCGCTTATTAGAGTGGGGCGCTTATTACGTTGAATATGGTAAGCCATTCTACTGTCTTGTAGACAGCAAAACTACCATGAGGATAACAATTCGATAATGCCTGTAAACAACGAGTAGACAATGCAACAAGCATTTTATTATTTGTTTCGGTGACTATAATGACGTCTATATTGTTATCTATATTGTTGGCAGTGTAATCTATCGTTAAAAATGTTGTATGTCATATTACACTGTTTCCGAAGATTCAGTAGAAGTTCAGAACATTGTGTTTTAACAATTTTAGTTGTTAGGAATGTATTACTGTCTAATGTAAGCTCTCCCTGGATATCCAGTCTAGTTATCACTGACTGTTTGGTTGGCATTCTAGAAGATGGTGAGTAGGTAAGAAAACGTATAACTTCAGGGATAACAACTTCTGGTTTATTGCATATAGCGACGTTTCAATGTAGAGTCACACATCATTATCAAACTGGAGTGACAACCAAGTGATAAGAGCTAAATATACTGAACCGCAAGAGAAACGTCACCATGAAATAGATATATGGGAAACCATATTTGTCAAAACACTGTAAACATACTTTGTGACATTACTTAAAAGGTGAAACTTGACAAAACTGATCATCAAGGTTGAAATTAAAGTGTCAAATGTTCTTAAAGTGAAACACAACACTAGTCTCTGAGAAAATGGCATCATAAAGTCAGCATCTCGTGTGTCCGCCATGTGCATTGATGACTGCCGTGCAACGTCGATACATGGAATGGATGAGGCGGTTGATGAAGGCCACAGGCACTTGAGCCCACACTCTGATGAACGACTGACTGTCGGCCTTGGATGGTTGTCATTCAGCCGTCTTTGAATCTCGTCTTTGAATTTAAAACGGGACTGAGGGCAGGCCACTGCATGGTTCTGATGCCATTCTGCTGGAGCAAGTCTCTTGTTGCTCTCGCAGTGTGGCCACTGGCGTTATCATGCTGAAACTCGTGGTTGCGGCGACGTGCTAAATGAGGTATGGCGTGTGGTCTCAAGACTTGATCAATGTACCGAGCTGCTGTGACACCATTGCCTCTCCCTGGACCGATGTTATGGAAGACCACAGGGTCCCCTCTGAGCAAGACCAATTCCATCCCACACCATGATGCTCGGACCGACCAATGATGCTCAATGATGCTCTCAACAACACAAGCATCCAAATAACGTTCCCAAAGGCGTCGTCAGATTCTCTCTCTGCCATCTGCTGTAACAGTACATACAGTAACGGCTCTCGTCTGAGAGGAGGACTCTTCTCCACTGCTGGTGGGGCAAAAGCTTGTGCTGTGTTGCCCACTGAAGGCGGTCCCGGCAGCCTGTGACAGTGGAGGTGTCTGCTCGTCAAGTGTCGACGTACCGTGACCACACTGATGTGTTGCTGGCGTGTCCCCATGGTCTGTCAAGCAGTTTCCGCAGCATTAACAAAGCGATCTTATGATGCTGTCTCACAATTTCACGATCCTGACGTCGGTCTTCCAGTACGTGGTCGGTCATCTGTAGTGTTGGTGGTCTGGTACCGATGCTGGAGCCTGTATATGGTCCTTGCATTGGCTACTTGCCGGGCGGTTTGTCCAGCTTGCAATCGTCCAAGGGCTTGGTGTCGCCGATTTCTTGTCAGTCTTGGCATGTGGTAGCAGTCAAATAACGAATGAATGTTATCCGATCTGGGTGGATTTTTATGGGGCAAGAAATGGGGGAATGCATGTGCATTTCATTTTGCACGGAACTCACGTTCATCGGGTTACCGTGGTCGTTTCCGTGATGCGTTTTGGCGATCAGTTTTATTGTCATCTCCTTTGTTTTTTAACATCAAATTTCATTTTTCCGGACAAGGTAATGTTAAATTTTAGAAACTTTGACCAAAAAAAATACCAAGATATTTAAATGACAACTTTTCATGCAATGTTACTTGGGGTGACGTTTCTTTTGCGGTTCAGTATATATACATGATGTTTTGTCATAAACAGGAGAGTAACATTGACAGCAACAGGTAAAAGATAGCATATAGCGTACAGATAGTTGGATGAAGTCAAATGTACTGTGAGAATAGCAAATAGCGCAAGGTGATGAAGCACTCGCGTAATGAAGCATGGTGTGCAGTAAGGATACGAATTAAAAGGATTAAACAGATGCATCATGTGAAATTTCATTGTGACTAGATATTGTGTTCATATACAACCCCACGGTATTGTATATGTCCAGCTCGAAGATAGCTACATTGAAATCAGTAGTTCCCTTTTTTGTGTCGGTAGTATATGTACCAATGTTAACAATGCTTATGTTTTAAGAACTGTTATCTTATCACTTCTAGGCTTATACGTTTTAAGTAAGGCTTCTATTTTCCCAATTTCTTCGAAATCTGAAAAATAGCTTTAATTCTTCTTGTGCTAATAACCCATAAATCATCCAATTGAGCATTAACAGTTATCCCTAAAATATCCTTCATAGCAATACACGTTCACTTTTGACATAGTTTGACCTTACGTCTATTAAATGTGATATCAATATTGTTTTCAATCCTGACATTTAAAACAAATAGGATAATTTGTCAAAAGATGCTTTAAGACTGCGATCGGGTCCATCTAACAAGAACTGGTATCATCAGCATATTGTCCTGGTTTTTGCATTATATAGGAGAATGCATTTTCCATTAATATGGAAGTCAATCTTTTAATATGTGGGCAAATTCTACTTGATAGAAGGGGCAATCCAACAGAAATCTCTGCATAAAGCAGAGTCGATTGTACGATTCCGGCTATATCATGAGTATGTGTTTATGAAACACCATCAAATAGTAATGATACCAGGTGTTCGCGTATCCTGGCCCCACCGCAGGCACCTTCACAAACACATGCAAAGGCAGGTCAATTGACCACCTGAAAAATCACGGGAACACATGGTATAAGTCAAAATAGGCAATTGCATCGGACATCATTTTTGTCACTGATGCGTCAAATTTGGAAATGTTTACCACATGTCATAAAACATAAAACATTTTGGAAGCTTTACTGAGGCCTTAAATTTTGTAACCTTGATCAAACAATATAAATCTGAAATCTGGAAGTGATAGTGGTTACTGTTTCTAGAATGCTAGTAGTACCCACAAAAGCGTGCTACGAGGGTCATTCGTTCGTTTTTACTTCTACTTGCGTCCATCAACTTGCCCACTGCGGACAACACACTTACTACATTTCTGCCTGCTTTCAACACTGATTCCTAGATTCAAGAACGAATCACGTGCCTTATCCAAGGCCAATGTTGATATACGGCCAAAGTCTGTTAATGTATGCTGCCACATATTTTAACCCTTTGCACCATGTATTTTGAGCCATTGTATTGCTTTTGTGATTGTAAACCTTTTCCTGTGTATTTTAATATAATGTGTTGATTGGTTATTGGCCTTGTGTGTGTATTTACTGATTTGTTTCTGTAATTACCGATTTCTCAGTCAACATTAGCGTTTCTATTTGTGAATCATCAGATAACATAAGTGAGAGTGAGAGTTTGTGTTTTGACACAGCTTGAAACAGTATTTCAGTTATATGACGTTGTGTCAGCTGAGTAAAGAAGCTTAGACCGCGATCCCACGAGCATGTGATTTATGCATCAGATCTGCTTTTCGGGTCTATCTTACAAATTAACGTCTCAAGATATGGTTAATCAAGATATCGTAATATATTCAAAACTTTTTCTTCAATATCAGCAATACACAACACCATATAAAATAAACCTTCCTGCATCATGGATCTACCCGCGTGTATGATACATCCGCAGTGATCATGTGCCACACATGTTCATAACAAGTTGTCATAGGACCGTACTGATATTAGTTCCTAAACATGGCGACTGCTTCATTAAACGGGGCGTCTCGGTGTTGGTCCTTTTCTCCGAAAACGTAATGAGAGTGAGAATTGGAATGACGAGCAAATGCTAAAACCACCAAGCTACATTTTCGGCACAGGCAGGCGCCACCATGAGCAGAGTTTGTTGTGGTGTATACACTAATTAAATCCCTTTGGATATATTCTAAGTTCTAAGTCTTGTTGTGAAAGGCAACCAAATGGATCACTTGGTGAGAATCAGTGACTGTGATGATTGCACATCATGGCATGGAACATTGCTCATGACATCAGTCTGTGGTTTGTCGCGTCCAGATTCTCATATAACTTGAATATTTATCCACTTGACAGAGTGAGTTTAGAGAGTGGGTTACTATCTAACGTCACATTGGCAGTATTTCAGCCGAATCGTGAGGCAATGACAGAACTACAAAGTGGAAGACATTCATACATTGAAAACAAACCGTGGTACCAGTATGGCAGACGACCATCATTATTGCATTCCTTCTTCACCCAGGCCTCTCATTATGCAAGAATAATGGGTATCCAGTTGACAAAACAAATGGAAAAAGAGAACATTTAACATGATATTTTCTGTTATTTTCATAACACTCGGATTATCGATGAGTAAAGAGGTTTTGCATGTGTTGTATTGATTGAGTAAATTGACTACGCGGGTGTTTCATAAACGGCCTGAAGATTAGACTGCACTGTAAATTAGCCAGTGACGGGACCGGAGAATGAAGTTCCCATGTATAGCTGAGTTCATATAGGATGTGATCATACATAGAAGCTTACATTATCACCATAGTTTTGCACCTTTGGAATTCCAGGTAAGAATAGATGACAAGTATCCTATGCTTGTCGTAAGAGATGACTTTTAAGGAAAGGGTGGTCAGGCTCGGTGACTTGCGCACAATCATAGCGCCTTGGTGACATCACTTTTATGCCCGATCCAGCTATTACACAAGGCAGCAATATTCATCACTGTGTTAAAAAGCAAACACTCAAACAGAGTGTTCACTACAAAAACACCTAAACCTGAT